ACAACACAACACAACACAACACAACACAACACAACACAACACAACACAACACAACACAACCCAAAACAAAAAACAACAACAACAAAAAACAACAACAACAAAAAAAAATTAGCACCCCTGCCGCCGCGTGTCCCGGCTTCTGCCCCGTGCGTCCTGGGCTTGGCCCTCGCGGCCCTGTTTTCGCCGCCATTCCTCGGATGCCCCAGGGCGCACCATTACGTAAATGCGCAAGCCCGGCCCGCGCCCGTCTTGGCCACCATGACGACACCACGCAGGCCCGCAATAGGTGGGGCGGGCCACCCCGGTTCCTCGCCCGGTTTCCTTCGTTTCTTCAGCAGCCGCTTTTCTGGACAAAAACACCTTTTTTTTTGGAGCCCCAACCGCGCTCTGTCCACGCCCATGCCCTCTGCCGGCAGCCGTCTTCAAACACCCCTGCCCCCGACCCCCGGCCCCGGCCCGTGCATGCCCATCCTCTCCCCCGGCCCCGGCTCGCACCATAAGCGCTAGCACCCATCTTCCAGCCCACCAACCCCCCATGAGCAACCTTCTTGTGAGCACGCCAGCGGCGGATTTGCAGCCAAAAAAACCGGGCCCGTCGGTCCACCTCCTCAGCGGCGGCGCCGCGGGCCTCGTGTCGTCGTTCACGCTCCAGCCCTTGGACTTGCTCAAAACACGGCTCCAGCAGCAGCAGAAGGAGGTGTCCGGCTACCGCACCAGCGTGACGCGCGAGCTCCGCAAGCTCGCCCACGTGCGGGACTTGTGGCGCGGCGCGCTCCCGCTGACGCTCCGCACGTCCGTGGGCGCCGGGCTCTACTTCACCATCTTGTCGCAGGCGCGGCTGTACTTGGACGGCTTGAAGGTGCGCGCTGGCCCGCGGGCGCCGCGGTCCAGCGTGTTGCCCCGGCTCTCGCACTGGGAGAACTTGGCCACGGGCTTCGTGGTGCGGGCGCTCGTGGGCGTGGTCACCATGCCCATCACCGTCATCAAGACGCGCTTCGAGTCCAACATGTACAGCTACAACTCCTTGTACGAGGGCTTCGAGGGTATTTATTCGGACGGCCCCGCCCGCGGCGCGCCGGGCTCGTACCGCAACTTCTTCCGCGGCACCACGGCCACGTTGGCGCGCGACTGCCCCTACGCGGGGCTCTACGTTCTCTTCTACGAGGGCTTCAAGAACGACTTGTTCCCGCCGCTCTTGCTGCTGGTGGACGGCGCGGGCTCCGTGCTCGCGGGCATGAACAACACCTTGGCGGCCGTGAGCGCGGCGGCGGTCTCCACCACCATCACCGCGCCGTTCGACGCGGTCAAGACGCGCTTGCAGTTGGCGTCGCCGCTGAAGCCCCTGCTGTCCATTGTGGCCGTCACGCGGCAGTTGGCGGCCGAGCCGGGCGGCGTGCAGAACCTCTTCAGCGGGCTCTCCTTGCGCCTTGGCCGCAAGGCCTTGAGCGCGGGGATCAGCTGGTGCATCTACGAGGAGTTGTTGAAGATGCTATAGGGCTTTTTTTGTATATAGAAGGCAGCGTGTTTCCCGGCATGGCTGCGCGAGCCGAGAAGGGATGGCATAGGTTTAGGAATACACATCATTGACGATGCGCCGGGCCGGGTGGGCCGCAGTAGGACAGCACCGGGGGCCTGGGGACGACATGGGCCGAGGTGTGCTGAGGGGATCGCGTGAGAGCGAGAATCGTGTAGAGCCAGAGACGCTGGGGAACAATCGTGTGGGCGATAATAGGAATCAAAGATGCAGAGAAAGAGTCCTCTGAGAGATGATAGGAATTATCTGAGAGATGCTGAGAAAGAATTGCGTGAGGGATCATAGGAATCATCTGAGAGATAAGGATGTGAGAGATATAAGAATGACGCGAGAGATAAGGATGTGAGAGATCTAAGAATGACGTGGATATAAGAATGACGTGAGAGATGATAGGAATTATCTGAGGAATACTGACAATCTTGTGAGAGATTCCAGAAGTCGCGTGAGAGATAATAGGAACCATCTGAGAGATACTAAGAATCATCTGAGAGGTGCCGAGAAAGAATCATCCGAGATATAATAAAAATCCGAGGTGCCAAGAACGAATCACCCGAGATATATTAAAAACCTGAGGTGCCGAGAAACCCGGACACTGAGGCCAGAAACAGAGAAATTCAGTGTCCTCTGGAACGACATTGGATAGTTGACCACGCACCATGATGCAATTGCGTCGCGACATACATTTTGACATATCGAGATAAAGGTGTTCTATTCGTCACATGAAACGTTTCATTGTGTTCCAAAAGCACCAGGGCCCAACGCAGAAAATCGCCCTTCTGCTTCAAACTGAACGCAGAAGAAGTACATGAATACTCGGGAGTGCCTGTTTCTAGACGATCTCCCCTTTCATACATCAATTAAAATTACCAAATTAACATTAGCATTTAGTTCGATACTTGCATTATTTTGGGTTTTCGTCTTTTTGACCGTACTGCCTGTTGACTCTCTTTACCCACACATTCGAGTGATACTCGATTCAAAAGCCAAGGCTTTATATATCAGCGGAATATTGAACTCGAATAACAAGAGCTAAACTGAGATTGAAAGGGACGAAGGACATACGGGCAAGTCGAACAAGCTTTTGAGTAGCACAAAAATAAACTAACAATGGCTATGAGGCTGAAATATAGAACGAAGAAACTAGTATAGCCTAAGGTTTATCTTATGTAAGTTCTGCTGATGATTTCATAAGATTGCCCACAGAGGAACATATGAGTCATGATTATAAAACACTGGATTAAGAAAATAATTCAGAACGTACAGTATATTTAAAAAGACATCTTCTTCTTTCAGCAATATTACAAATTAAATTAGATATTGTTAATCTGTTATCCCTGGCGTAACTTTAATTCGTACCGACATCCATACCATTTGATTCTGCCTGTTCTCTACACTCTACTTGCTACTGTCATTATCATTGCACATTTACGTTTTTATCTTTGTTGGTCTTAGCTTGGTACCATTTGATTTAAATATACAAACTCTTAGGCTTTATTTTGATTTATGATATTCAAGATTATTATTCATAAAATAAATTCTGGTTCCTATTCATAAAATAACCACACAAATTGAATTCTTCTTCATTATCGTGCTTCTTAATATAACTACATAATCTAAATTTTAGTTCATGATTGTGCTTCGTAAAACAGTAATATTCATTCTTAGCAAATCGTATTACATCTGCTTAATTTGTCTCATCAGATCTTTGAGATGTATAATATAGAACTTACATTCAGTTTTCAAATATTTGCTGGACCTCGGCTTGTGGGGTAGCAGGTATGCGCGAAGTACTAGCCTTCATACATCGACAAGGCCCGCCAAACGCCGTTGATAGGCAAGCCTCGAGCTTTACATAGCCCCCACACGTGAGGCCTCGGTCCCCAGAGTACGTCACACAAGCAAAGCGTCAGACACTCGGCCTTTCCAGCTTCGGGCAGACGAGTCGTGCCCCGCCGGAATATCGTGGATATCTTGTAATTTTTGCAATCGCCCGCTTTCGCGCGAACTTGCCTCGGCACACGGAGAATGTACCGGTGTGCTAATCAGCCAGCCTGGGGTAATGCAAGACTGATCTCGAGTCATATCCCCCAAAACCAGCCCCAGCAAACCGCCAAGTCATCGATATGAATGAGGACCTCATCAACAGCGCCGTGAGTTTTCTCCAGGACCTGACCGTGGCAGCGTCGCCGATCAACAAGAAGATCGAGTTTTTGCAGACTAAAGGCTTGAATGAGGAGGAGATTGACGAAGCAATTAAAAGAGCCAACAACTCGCCGCCAAACCCGTCGTCGTCGCCGCAGACGTCGTCGGCCACGACATACAGAGGCGCCGTACAAGAACAACCGCATCACGCCCAAAATTACGCGCCCCTAGACTATTATTCTGTCGCTCCGCAGGTTCCTGAAAGAACATGGAAAGACTATTTCATCATGGCAACAGCCACCGCAGGCGTCACCTACGGCTTCTACCAGGTTGTGTCACGATACTTGTTGCCCAGTATCATTCCACCGGGGAGGTCGCGTTTGGAGGACGATAAGCAGGTGATTGAGGACGAGTTCATCAAGATCGACAAGGTCTTGGAGCAGATGGCTTTGGAACAGAAATCCATCAAGGACGCGAACGAGGCAAAGCTATTGGAGATTGACGAGGCCATAGGCAACGTCAATCGCTTTTTGGAAAAGTACGACAAGGACAAGTTGAAGTTAGACGACGACTTGCGCTTGGTGAAGTTGGAGGTGGACAACTTGCAGAACTTCTTGGAGAAGAACATGAAGCTCACCAAGGAAAACATCAGAGATGAGCTCACTGACATCTCCGGCGAGTTGGAGTCTTTGAAGAGCTTGATCAAGGCACGAGGCGCCACCTCGGGCTCCGTGGACCGCAAGGTGGCCCCCGTATCCTCCATTCCATCTGCGTCCGAGATTCTCAAAAAAGCCAAGTCGAATGGAAACGGCTCTTCTGCTCTGGCGAAACCTCCGGTCTCAGCAGAGTTACCTATGGGCAAAGAGGCAGAGAATCAGAATACTACACTAGAATCATCGCAAGCTCCCCCTCAGAAAGCTCCAAAGAGCCTGAGGGTGCCTAGTTTCACTGCGAACAAGGAGTTTCTTGCGGCTGGGATACCAGACTGGCAGCTTGCACACAAGAAGCAAGAGGAAGAATCCAGCGTGAAAGAGGACGAGAAGAAGGAGCTGAAGGGCGAGCAGAAAGTACAGGAATCCATTCTGAGGGTGGGTGTGCCACAATGGCAGCTCAATTCATCTTAGACACATCTAATTAGAAAGCTCGTGCAGTTCAGAGCTGATGCCCAGCCTGGCAGTGTAGTCGTCTTCTTACATGAACGATGCGGACAGAATTTCAATACCCGGCATGTATGTTATCGAGACTCGACAATTTGAAATTGCACAGTAGTAGATCAGGAGGAAAAGACGAGAGAAAGAACAGACATTAAGAAACTGGATGCAGTGACCTTCTTAATCGCAATTAACAAGGCTTTGTATATGTGAGCTTTACGTTGTAGATCTCGCGCATATGTCGCGATCAGAAACTGTGAGAACTAGACGCTTAGCCCTAATTAATCATGTGACAAATGAGACATTAAAGTTCGCACCACTTACCCGAAACCAAATAGCACGACAAGTATATAAAGGGAAGAGAATTCCCTCTAGAGATCTTTTTAGAAGGTCAGTTGACACAACAGTGGTTTTAGTTTTTCCTAAATAAAGGTTTATTTCCACACGCTAGTACATCATGTCGAATCCGATATCTCAACTGTACCAGTTGGGAACCACTTGTGGACAGGACATTGAGTTGGAATATCCTGTACTCAAGCAGAAATACAAACAGAAACCAACATTCTACGCAGTTCAACTTGTACATTTAGCCCAAGTGTTCTGGTTCAAGCCCCCAGAAATTAACGCTTTCCTAGCGACATGAGCAGCACCACTCTGTTGAAAAAGCTCTTGCGGGCCTCGCTCGCCAGAAATACCAACCCAAAGCTTTTTGCGTCACTCTTGGAGCAATTGCTTGCACGAGAGCAAATTTCAGATGCTGAGCTTGGCGAGATGCTACTAAACGTTGCGGATTCCCCCGTAAAAGCTAATAGTACAACCAGTATTTTGGCACGAAGGCTACAGATCGAATATGTGCTCGAGTTTGCCTTTTCAAGCAGTGAGAATCTTGCCAGGTTCTTCAAGTTGTTACCTCAATTGAGCCTCAAATCCCAACTCAAATACATTCTGTACTTCAAGACACAGGTGGGGAAAATCATCGATCGATCACTCATAAACGAGTTTTATAACGGCTTGGCTCAATTCACAATTGCAGCAAGCCCATCCCGGCCCGGAGAATGCTCTCCACATTCGAATCGTCTTTGGTATCATGTGGTCTTCGTATGGGGCGCTTTCATCGATCTTGATTCATCGATACCGGCAAACCCCAGTTTGAAAGAATCTTTCCAAAAAATGGCCCTCTTCGCCGGCGATCTCGAAGACGATTACATTGGTGCTCTTATTTCAAGAAAGTTTGGAGCAGCGGCAGATCCAGGGGCATCTTTGAACTTCCAGACAACGCGTATGGCAAAGTCAGAGGAAGCTCCGACAACTATGCCCGAAAAGTCGTTATCTTTGAACCTTAATGGCAAAAAGTATTCAAATTACGTGTCATTGAAGAAATTCATCTGGCTCAACTTTCATTTTCAGCTGTGGAAAATGGACACAGAAATGTCTCGTGCGTTCATGACCTTTTTCAATTTACAGGACCTAAGCCATACAGACTTGGCAAAGGAGCTCATATGCTCTTTTCTCAATGGTGCTGCCGTAGCTGTCAGGCTGGGAGAAGAACCGTATGTGATCTTTAATTGGAAAAACTTCATCCTCACTCACTTGGCTCAAGACCTCAAAGAAATTGTTTTATCTTCTCATGCAGTAGATCACGAGTGGCACGAAACAGTCTCAGCGGCCATTACATCGTGCAATGACCTGGTCATCACGGAAACAAAAATTGGGGGTGTAAAGGAGTCTTACAATTTGAACAAAGAATTCATGCGCAGTTGTCTTCATCAAGAACTCATCTCTTTAGAGAAATATATCCAGGTATTTCCTAGTGAGGCGGAAAACCTTTCTACATCAATCCTAGCGCATGAAATTGAGAACTTGCGTCTGACAGAACTGATCACCGCAGAATTTAAATCGAGACTCGAAAATGTAAACCCAGAATTCACTTCGTTGCAAGAAAGCAACTTGATTGACTATTTCAAGAATCTTCCCCTGACAAACTTTAGATTCCTGAATGCGAAACAGTGCAAGCTCGCACAACTCTCAGAAAATTTGATTGACAATATTGTTCGGGAAAAGAACAATGAAAAACTACGCTGGATATCGTTAGTGTTCCTGAATGTGCCTTCAATCGCAAACTTCATTTTCTACCAAAGCCGCAAGGGCCCCTGGATGTTTTTGAGCAAGATTATCAACTACATTGATAGCGAGTCATTCAACGTTGATGAGGATGATGGCAATTTTCAAGACACATATGCATGTTTTGGTGTCATTTTGACAAGCGTGATTTCTGTGGCGGCGTTTTTTGGGATTGAATTTGCATCTTTGGGACTCAAAAACTCATACACCATTGATTACATCAATCAGTTTTACTTCAGGCTGTGCAACATGCTCACAAATACTTACACCGGGGCTAGTGAACAAGAGAAACAAATTATTTCCAATTATGAAAATCTCGTCACTGAATGGGCAAATGCGTTATTTGACGTTAACAACGATGGTTTATCTGACGACTTGCTCAAGTCAGTCAACGTGAAACAAATTTACAAATTTGTTTTCTTTCTTTTCCGCGAAGCTTTTACTGCCAGGGCAATGGGAATGTTGAGCGAAAGTAGTCTCAACAACGGAATTGATTACCTCTCACAGAATTTTTTGGCACCTTGCTCTTTGGAAGCTATGCAGTGGATAGCTTCCAAAATTAGTCCTCAACAGAACAATAATGATATAATGGTGGAAATGATGTTGCGGATTATTGAAGGGAACTTCGGAGATGCCATGTCGACAGACAAAAGCGAACAGATATTCACCTCTCGAATGATATTAAATGCGATTAGTCCTCGCTTGTTGAAAAAACTCAAGAGTTTCACTGGGGCGTCCGCCACTGAAAACATTGAAAAACTTTCAAGCATACTTGTGAAAGAGACCAACGTCGAGTATTGTCAATATGTAGACCACCCGAAACACGAGTCAAGCTTGATGGGCGATACTATGACCAATGATCTTTTGAATTTTCTGAAAAAGAGCAAACTAGCATCTACTGAATCGATCAGTGAGGCGTGGCTGAAAATCAAGTACAAGTGGAGGACTTTATCCGCAAATGAGGCTTGCTTTACCCTTTTACAACAGATTGAGCATAATTTGGGAGCCCGTGGATCAATGGCGTATGAAGATTCCAAGTTTATTGTTGACTTCTTTATGTTTATGATCACAGGCTCGAGCTCTCAAGATGCGGGGGATATCAGTTCATTGGTTGATTGTTTAAATTGCGCAAGACCTCCAAAAGCGCCAATATTTGAGGCAGGAAAACAATTTGCACTCACAATCAACGATCATCATTCGTCTATATTCAACGAGAATGCCAGCACGAGCAGTCTGAACAGTCCTCTCCAAGAAGAAAATCCGCGGCTGCGAGAAGAACTCATGGGAGATTTTGAAATGGGCGATTTGTTTGAAGACATGTCGGAGGGTTTTTTTGATGAGCTGATGACTCTTACCAATGACCCCGCATCCTCGAAGCCCTTTGTTGATGTAAGCGACGTCTACAAGCAGTCAGTAAAACACTTGTCGCTTCTTTGGAGGATATCTGAGTGTATGGTCTCCCCCGAGTTTCTGAAGGCCAGCAGCTTGATTTCCATTGCCCGTGCAAGTCTCATAGAAGAGCTTCGCAAGTGGAGTCCCAGATTGTGATGATTTGTGCAAAGAGTTTGACAAGAATACATGTACCAAGCGAGTTCTTTTATTTCGCTTGATTGTGCGCTTATTTTCTTATGTGAAGTTTGTACGACATTCGTCACCTTACATTTTTGCATGTTTCAAGCCCTTTCTGTTTCACCGCGTGATAAAGTATACAAGGCTAATACAACTCCCTCTAATACTGTAGGAAAAAGCCTCTTGAACTAATCGAAGAAATGCTGGATTCGAAAATATTGACGGGAACGACATTCAAATAAAGAATCTACTTTGAGAATTCAAATTTTGCTAAGAAAAGATATGGTCAAATAGCGCAAATTGCACTGCCTTGATCCACTTGTAGAATTACCAAGGCACGTCTTTAGTTTATTTGGCAGCTGAACCGACACCCGCACCTGCTTATGCAAAGAGGCCGATGAGACATGCGTCAATCATCTGAGTATCTGACACTTACCCAACGCAGGTAAAGCGATGAGTTTACACAATATTTTATCCCTCGCCAGAAAGTTAGATACCAACCACAAAGAATTGGTTACATACACATACTTTCACACGCTCGGGAATCATGAGTGAGCTTGCGGACAAGCTGTTCATATTAAGGGATTCTTACAAACTGGAAATATATACACTTAAATGCAAACTCTAATAAGTTATGAGCCCCTATACAACCTCTACCAAAATGCTCACATCTGATTTTGGTAAACTTCAAGATGAGAGTCTCAATAGTGTGTGGAAATTATTCTCAGAAGTAATATTCGATTTTGATGAGAATTGTTCACTTACTTCGAAGAAGACCCTAAGGAGTTGGAAAGTTTAAGATGAAATATCAAGATGATACGACAGTATTTGACGCATCGATGAGGAAATTGAATCACTTCTTGCACAAGGTTTAGATTCAATGCGTTGCAAGAAGTGTCAATTCTGAGTAGGATGGATAGATTGTTTCTTAATAGAGGCCATATCGAAGAGTTAATGGAGACACATGAGCCATATTTTGACAAGTGTACTAGGAATGTTTTGAGGATTGCGGAATACTTGATGGAAGAAGAAAAAGATCGTCGTCAAATAGAAAGCTATTACATCACTATCGCAACTTCTACGTTGCCCTCAGAGCTCAGAGCTTCGCATGAAGAGACCAGAGAGGTTATCTGGATAAGGACAAACCTTGCTGGGTTCAAAGTGAATCTTAAAGAGAACTACATGTAAGCACTGAAACGATATTTACAGTGAAAAATATGGTTTCTGAGAAGGTATTAAACATGAAGAAGTCCGCGTATGTGCAAGACAATTTCCGAGAACAAAGTACACGTGGACTATGTTTTCACGAAATAGAATACTATGGTTATGCTTATGAAGACTCTCGCGCCACATTTTTAAAGTCCAAAAAAGCTCTGTGAAATTAATGAGTATGATGAGGGGGATGTAAACATTTTATGTCAAAATTAACGTGACAAGCAAATCATTCTAGCGTCTGGGACTTACTCGAACCAAGCAATGCGATGTATATAAGTGGAGGATTTCATCCTTCATCAGTGCTTTCAAAAGTCATTCAAATCAGTTTCCATGCTCATACTTCTCCTTGCTAGTACATCATGACTAGGCGATCCAAGAAGCCTCACAAATGAGGGTCCTTACCTAAGGAAACGACACTCTGATGTCCTGCATATATAGACAAGATCAAGCAGACGCGTCTTTTCGCAAGATTTCATCGCGCTACATATTTGATAGTTCTCTACTTCATCGAAACTGGGTACCTGTACGGAGAAACCTTACGTATTTGATTGAACATTGATTTATTTATTTCGATAGATTAACCTCTGGCTGTGATCGAAGACAATTTTGCTCTCTTCCCTTTTGGAACCTCTGATTTGCTCCATATAAAGGATTTACCAAATCAAGCAGGCATAGGCAGAGCCCCCACCTTTTTTTCCCCAACAATAGATCCAAAAATGTCAGGAAACGCAGCTTTAAAAAGACCTTGGAATGATGACGCCATGGGCGCACACAGTTTGCCACCAGCTTCACAAAGCATAGGACATGATGTGCCTTCATCGCAGCTGGAAATCACCCAATCCCAGCAGCAGCTTCTTAAGAAAGTGCGGCCAGGAAATAACGAGGAACCGCTGAATTTTGAGTCTGAGTTGTTGGCAATGAGCAAAAGAGCCGAGGGAATACACGAGGAAACACAAGTATGGGCCCGGCCTTCCCTCCCGAAAGATTTCACCAATGCTGACATATCTTTCCAGCAATTAGATGCAGAGGAGGCGTCCAGCGGTGATGCTACAATTGCCCGTTTTTTTGGTATCACTAGTGAGGGCCATTCCGTGCTCTGTAACGTCACGGGATTCTTGCACTACTTCTATGTGCCTGTGCCCCGAGGCTTCTTAAGAGACCAACATTTGGCCAAGTTTGCGTCATACTTGAAGGCTGCATTCTACGGAGTTGAAGACGTAACGATGTCCTTGAAAGAATCTATCTGGGGGTTTGCGAACAACATGAAGACACCATTCTTCAAGGTCATTGTGAAGAATGCCAAAGACATCGCTAAGCTCAGAGGTGCTTTCGAAAGAGGCGAAGTGAGATACGAAGACTTTTTTCCTGTTGGCCTGTCTCCAACTTTTGACAACATTACCTACCTTCTCAGGTTGATGATAGACTGCAAAATCACGGGCATGTCGTGGATCACCTTGCCAAAGGGCAGGTACACATTGATAAGCCCGGGTTCAGCTATTTCTACGTGTCAAGTAGAATGCTCTATTGATTACAGAGACTTGGTTTCTCATCAACCGGAAGGAGAGTGGCTTAAAATGGCACCCTTGAGAATCATGTCTTTCGATATTGAATGTGCTGGTAGGAAAGGAGTGTTTCCTCAGGCACAGATCGATCCTGTCATTCAGATTGCAAATGTGATACTGAGGCAAGGTGAGGCTCGACCTTTTGTTCGTAACGTTTTTACTGTCAAAAGCTGTGCATCCATAATTGGTTCTGAGGTGTTCTCTCACGAGGAAGAGGCCGATATGTTAATGGCATGGAGAGACTTTGTTGTACAGGCAGATCCGGATGTTATAATTGGATATAACTCCGCCAATTTTGATTTGCCTTATTTGTTAGACAGATCGAAGGCTCTTGGTTTGCCCAAATTCCCCTATTTTGGAAGATTGGTGAACGTGAAACAAGAAGCTAAAGATTCTGTATTCAGTTCCCGTGCGTATGGTACGAGAGAGAACAAGGTGGTCAATATTGATGGCCGAATGCAGCTTGACTTACTCCAATTCATTCAACGCGAGTACAAACTCAGATCATACACGTTGAACTCCGTCTCTGCCCACTTCTTAGGCGAGCAGAAAGAGGACGTCCAGCACTCTATCATCACAGATCTTCAAAATGGGAATGCGGAAACCAGAAGAAGATTGGCCGTCTATTGTTTGAAAGATGCATATTTGCCCCTCAGATTGCTTGAAAAATTGATGTGTCTAGTCAACTACACAGAAATGGCAAGAGTTACGGGTGTTCCGTTTTCCTATCTCTTGTCCCGAGGACAACAAATCAAAGTCATTTCCCAATTGTTCCGGAAATGTCTAGAAGAGGACATCGTTGTGCCCAACATGAAGAGTGAGGGAGGAAACGAAGAATATGAAGGTGCAACAGTAATTGAACCTGAAAGGGGCTACTACGACGTTCCAATTGCCACTTTGGATTTCAGCTCTTTATATCCCTCGATCATGATGGCCCATAACTTGTGTTACACTACGCTTATAAACAAGAATGCGATTGAAGCTTTTAAGTTGACCGAGGACGACTATACCCACACCCCGAATGGTGACTACTTCGTCAAAGACCACAAGAGAAAAGGGATTCTCCCAACCATCTTGGATGAGCTTTTGACTGCAAGAAAAAAGGCAAAGTATGACTTAAAAAACGAGACCGATCCTTTCAAAAGAGATGTCCTTAATGGTAGACAATTAGCATTGAAAATTTCAGCCAACTCTGTGTATGGGTTCACGGGTGCTACAGTTGGAAAGCTTCCGTGCTTGGCAATCTCGTCTTCTGTGACGGCTTTTGGAAGAGAGATGATCGAGAAAACTAAAAATGTGGTGCAAGAGAAGTACAATACGGGAAACAACTATGATTACGACGCTCAGGTCATATATGGTGATACTGATTCTGTCATGGTCAAGTTTGGCCCTCAAGACTTAGAGACATGTATGAAGCTAGGGGAGGAAGCTGCTGATTACGTGTCGACCCACTTCAAGCATCCGATCAAATTGGAGTTTGAGAAGGTTTACTTCCCATACTTGCTCATCAACAAAAAGAGGTATGCCGGGTTGTACTGGACGAGGCCTGATAAGTTCGATAAGATGGACACAAAAGGTATTGAGACAGTGAGAAGAGATAATTGCCGAATGGTCCAAAATGTCATCACAAAAGTTTTGGACTACATCTTAGAAGAAAGAAATGTGGAGAAAGCTGAGAGGTTTGTGAAACAGACTATTGCCGATTTATTACAGAATAGAATCGATTTGTCACAATTGGTCATTACCAAAGCATATTCGAAGCACGAATATGATGGTAAACAGGCACATGTGGAACTTGCAAAGAGAATGAAAAAAAGAGACCCAGGCTCAGCACCAAACTTAGGTGACCGAGTGGCCTACGTCATCATCAATGCATCAAGTTCGAAGAATTACGAAAAGTCGGAAGACCCGTTGTATGTGTTGGAAAACTCTTTGCCTATCGATGTCAATTACTACTTAGACAATCAGCTCTCCAAACCGTTGATGAGAATTTTCGTACCGATTCTCGGTGAAAAGAAGGCAAAGGACCTTCTCTCTGGTGCTCATACTAGGACTATTAAGATGAGTGCTCCGAAGAGCGGTGGTCTTATGAGGTTTGCGAAGAAAGCAGAGTTGTGCAAAAGTTGCAGGTCGCCTCTCAAGCCAGACAATCATGGGGCGATTTGTGAGAATTGTGTTTCCAAAGCTCCTCAATTATATTCTGAGACCTTAGCCCAAATGAATTATCTCGAGAATAAATTCTCCAGATTGTGGACCGAGTGCCAGAGATGTCAAGGTTCGTTGCATCAAGAAGTCCTTTGTTCCAATAATGACTGTCCCATATTTTACATGAGAAAGAAGGCTCAAAAAGACGTATCACAGCAGGCACAAGAATTGAAGAAATGGGATGCTACTGTGTGGTGAAAAATATGAATAGGTTTACTCACAACAACGAATGATGAAATTAACTTTTATATCATGTGTGCTGTGGCGCAACAATCTCTAGTAACAATTTGTTATTTGGATGCAAGTTTTAAATTGACAAACAGCTTGTCTCAAGCGTCATCCTTCTTTGAGAATAACAAATAGCTTTCTGTTTGAGACCGACTACCTGCCGAAAGCGCACCTGGCCTGGTCTTGGTGACAACTTCCTCCGAATGCCGAGTAGTCAAAGCCCCCTTTTCTCTCTCAGGGGAGTGATCCTCGAATGCTTGATGGACAGAGTCGAGCCCGTTGGTGGCAGTCGCTCTGGTTGGAGATCCTCCACCTTGTTCGCTGGTACCGGGTGTTTGAGAACTTTTGATTTTTTGTAAATTCTTGGCAAAGTCTGAAGTGCGGTTGCTGTTGTTTTGTTTCGATAATTCCTTTAATTGTTTCATGTTGTGTATGCACTTCGCAATCGTCTGCATTAACAATTTCGGTTTTAATGGCTTCGAAACATAATCGTCCATTCCCTTTGCGAGAGATTTTTCTCGATCACCCAACATTGCATGGGCAGTCAATGCTATGATCGGAGTCCGGAAGCTGAGAGAGTCGATGGGATTCAGTTTCTTCTCCCATTGTCTGATCTTTTCGGTGGCTTCGAACCCGCCCATGACCGGCATTTGTACATCCATCAAAACAACATCAAATTTCTTTTTCTGGACAGCCTCAAATGCTTCTAAGCCGTTTTCAACCACCTTCACTTGATGTCCTTGTTTCTCCAAAATTCTTACAGCCAACTTTTGATTGACCAAATTGTCCTCGGCCAAGAGAATTCTGTAGGAGACAGAATCATCTGTGTTCTGAGCAATAGATCTGGATTCTAAAGCCGGTATTATAGCACTTGCCAAGTCCGAGATTGTGCAGGGAGTGTTCCCGTACGACGAGATTCCCAAGTCTATGCAAACCCTCATATTCAACTCAGGTATGGAGTGGTGTAATAAGACCAAGGGAATGTATTTAACCTCGGGCAACAATCTCAACTCTTTCGCGGTATTGATAGAGTCTATCATAATTATGTCGTAGTTGATTGGCTCCGAAAGATTTGCCTCTTGGGTAGATCTTGCGATAACTGGTTCCAAGCCAAGCCCAATAATATTATTTTGAATTTCCTCGAGTTCAGAATCGTTGTGATCTGTTGAAATGAACAAAATGTGATGATTTCTGAAAGGCATAAGCAGCTCGCTGTTTGCAGAGTATTGAATATTGGAACGAGACACAGACACCGTGAAAGAGAAGTTGGATCCATGACCATAATCAGAAGTAACCCAGATTTCACCACCCATAAGATGGATTAATTGCTTTGAGATTGACAAACCAAGACCGGTTCCTCCAAACTTTCTCGTAGTGGACCCATCTGCTTGACAGAATGTGTCGAAAATCAAGCCAAGTTTGTCTTCTTCAATGCCAATTCCAGTATCGCTCACACAACACTCTAGAAGAAGTTTGTCCGGATCTTCTGGGACCCCGCCAAACTTCCGAACACTCACGCTGACTTTTCCCTTTTTAGTGAACTTAATGGCATTGCCCGCCAAATTGAGAATAACTTGGCGCAATCTAAATGAATCGCCAATCAAGTTATCTGGGAACGAAGAATCACATTGGTAGATGAGATCCAAGTTTTTCTCGATGGCCTTGACGGCCAAAGTTTTCAAAGCACCAAACACGTTGCCTCTCAATGAAAAGTCAATCTGCTCAACAGTCATTCTGTTCGCCTCGATTTTAGAAATATCAAGAATGTCATCGATAATTGTAAGCAAAGAGTTGGCCAAATTGTGGACAATGCTCAACATTTCACGCTGATATTGTGTAAGCTCGGTATCAAGGGACAATTGGGTCATACCAATGATACCGTTCAACGGCGTTCTGATTTCGTGCGACATGTTCGCCAAAAATTCCGATTTAGCGCTGTTGGCCAATTCGGCGGCCTCTCTTGCAGCAGTGTTTCTTTGAATGGACTCTCTTAAATTGAACACCATCTGATTAATCTTGGTCTTCAAGGCATCCATCTCACCAGAAGCCTCGACAGTGATAAAGCGAGTGAAGTCGCCGTCGGTGGCTGCTGCTGTAATCTGAGCAAAAGCTCTGACCTGGGACGTCAAGTTCGCAGCCATGGTATTGACATTGGAGGTGATTTCCTTCCACAAACCATCAACATCAGAGACTTGAGCCTGAATGCCCAACTTACCATTGATACCGACATCTCTGGCAACTTTAGAGACCTCGGAGGCGAAGAGCTGCAAGGAGTCCACCATTTTGTTGATGGTGTTCTTCAACTGCAAGATTTCTCCTTGGGCGTGCACGTCGATCTTTTGGGACAAGTCGCCATGCGCAACGGCCGTGGTGACTGTGGCGATGGATCTGACTTGATTGGTCAAGTTGGTGGCCATCAAGTTGACGTTCTCGGTCACGGCTTTCCAAGCTCCCTCGACATCACGGACGTTCGCCTGGCCGCCCAAGATACCGTAGGTTCCGACTTCGCGAGACAACGTGGTGACCTCGAGAGCAAAGGTCTGCAAGCGGTCCACCATCTGGTTGATTGTGAGCTTCAAGTCTAGGATTTCACCCTTGCAGTCGGCGGTGACCTTCTTCAGCAAGTCGCCCTGAGCAACAGCAGTCGTGACGTTGGCAATGTTTCTCACCTGCGTGGTCAAGTTGAGCGCCATGGCGTTGACGTTATCCGTGAGTTCCTTCCAGATCCCCTCGACGTTCTCGATCAAGGCCTGGCCGCCCAAAATACCAAGGACCCCCACGTCACGCGCGACTTTGGACACCTCGAACGCAAACGTTCGGAGCTGGTCCACCATGGTGTTGATGGTCATCTGCAACTGCAAGATCTCGCCCTGCGCATGGACGTTGATCTTGCGGGACAAGTCGCCCTGGGCAACCGCGCGCGTGACGTCGGCGATTTCTCGCACCTGGTTGGTGAGGTTCAACGCCATGATGTTGACGTTGTCGGTCAACGAGCGCCAGATGCCCACGGAGCCCTCGTTCTTGGCCTGGCCGCCCAACTCGCCGTTGGCGACCTCGGTGGCGACTTTGGTGACCTCGGTCGCGAACGCCTGGAGCTGGTCCATCATGGTGTTGATGGTGATCTTGACCTTCAAAATCTCCGGGTCCAGCTCGACCGAGTGGATCTCGACTTTCTTCAGCAAGTCGCCCATGGCGACGGAGATCACCACGGTGCCGATCTCCGAAAGCGCCAGCTTGAAAGCCTTGTTGGCTTCACACGCGGTGTTATGCGCCAGCGACAACTCCTTGATCTGCGTGTTCTGGGCGGCTAGGACGCGCCGCAAGTCCTGGCGTAGTAGCGGCGCCTGTTCAGCAAACGCGCTTGGATCGTCAAGAATCGCCAACAACGCTGCGGTATCCATGTCGGTGTCCAAGCGGGGCTTTTTGGTGGGAGGTGAGGATGGTGAAGTCAAACCGGTGGCAGGAGAAAGAGAGCCTGGCGGAGTCGGGTTTAAAACACAGTGAGTTCAGGGCACAAACAGCGGTGGTCCTTTTATTTTTTTGGCGGGGGCGAAAAGAGAACTGGGCTAAAAAAAGAGATGGTCGCAGAACGAGGCTGAGACTGAGCCAGGCAGACGGGGCTTTTTTGCCCTTCGCGAGGGGCGCCAAATAGACCGCTAAAACAGAGCCTGTGCAGACGGGGAATTGCGGCTGCGGCCAGAATAAGCCGGGCGTGCTGAAGACGAGGTGGCCGGGGGCCAAATCGGTAGAGAGCACGGGTGAGCCAAGGAAACAATAAGGAACAAGCCGGAGAAACAAGGATCCAAACATCAGGCCTGTTTCGTGGCGCCATACAATACGCTTGGCCGTTGCGACTTCTGTCATGTCGAGCCCTGCGCCTTCGCCGCGCCAAATTCCACAGTAGGCCCGCACCCATGTTGTCCGGGCAATGTAACAATGCACATGTCACCTGTTTATTTTTTTGAATTTATTTTTTTTATTTCCGGGGGCAGGGCTAGGAAACGGACAGACGGGAAGCGCGTTTTGGCAGGGGCCCCGCGCAAATGGCCACTTTGTTCCAGCCGATGTAAGCAAGACGTGTTCTCTAATAAACCGGCCGGCCGCACTGTTTGCTGACCCGGCCCTGGGTCCAATTTTTCGTAAGCGTGCGATGGCACGGCCGCACGGGCCCTATACCAACCTGGGATTTTGGTCGGGGCATGACTGCACCGCTCCACGTTGCACTTCCCGTGCCTGGACAATAGAGAGAAGCGCCCGGCATGAGACACTCGGCAATGTTGGAATAAAAGGGGAAGCCCACGGTCCAACAAATGAACTACCCTGATAAAATAAGACCCCGTCTTTTCCCCGCCGCTGCCACCGCCTACGAACGTTTCAGTATCAGATTTCTCAATTCAAGTATGTACGGTACTTCGGATCCTTAGGATACTACTATTCTCTAAAAACCCTTAAGGAAGAAAGGAAAGGGAAAAAACTTTCCCTGTACGGAAGTTTTTTCCTCTTGCCACGTGAGGGATGCCTACGTGGCGGATACCACGTGACAGAACGCGCGCCGGAACCAAACCGACTCATTGCAAAAAAGGCGTTGCCCGTTTCGCAGCGCTCTTTCCCCTCGGCACTCAGTCCACATGGGCTGGTGATTATTTCAGAGGGTGCCGGTCATTTCTAATGTCTTTTTTCTGTGGGCATCAACGCGCAGGTCTGCCCCTGTGGCGGAGAACCCGGCGTGTTCTTCACTGTACATACAGGCCATGGGCACAGCATGTCTTCATTGAACAAGAAGTCACCTATACCATCTGGTGTTGATGGGCACTTTTGAAAACATCGCATGGCTTTCAGACCTTTGCAGCGTCAACCGAGCCCGTTTAACCGAGCCCGTTTATATCAGCGGGCTCTGCCTTCATTGATTGGGCGTTGAACAACCAAATGACATAATATTACCTCATTTGATCACTTACTTGAATGACCCAAGCTTCCACCTTCGGCTTGCTTTCCTCTCATTCATCAAGATTATTGGGGGCTTTATTGGTGTTTTGTCTTTTATGCGATATCTTTTTCTATTGTTGATGCAAACCTTCGAGGATCACGAGCCATATATTGAAGAGAAACAGTTGAGACTCAGCTGAGAAGCCCCGCACAATTGGTCAAAACAATCTCAATTTGAAATTACTAGCGAGTATGGGACAGCGAGGCATTCGAGCCAACTACACTACATGGTGACTACAAACTGCCTGCAAAAGATACGCGACCATATCGATCGTATTGTGTTAAATAGAGGTTTTCTAAAGGCAATTTGCAAGAGGGATGTCGCAGCATGAACCTAGGCATGGTGCGCTCCTCGAAGTGCTCCTTGTTGGCGGAACAGAAAACGGACATTGGCGAAGCATCTAAAACACCAAAACAAGACCCGCTCCAACCACCGCAATGAACAAAGACTTGGCGAGATGGACCGCGCTGCTGCCCTCGGAACTCTTGGTTCCTGAAGAGCTCAACTGCGAGCTTGTCGAGCCCGTCTCGATAGATGTCGAAAGAGATGTGGAAGAGTATCCTTCAGCCTGCACAGCCAGGGGGATTGAGCTCGTGACCGTCTCGATGTCCTCACTGCTGGAGAAGTTGACCTGGGCTAACGAAATCTCATAGTCTTCCAAGTCGTACACAATGTACGCGTTACGAAGGAAGTTGTCACCCAATATGGCGTACGTAGTGCTGGTCAGAGAACTGGAGGACTGCTCCAAAACACCCAAGTAGCACTGGAAGCCCAGCAGGATGATCAAGTCGGACATTGGCACCTTGATCTCGACGCCAGAAAAGTTGAACACGGCATAGATATCGTCTGAGTCGTAGTCACAGTCCACCGTGTAATAGCCCGAGGAGCTGGTGGATGCATCCAACAGCGATACAAGGGAGCTCAAGATGGCAGACGGGAGGTAGGTCAAAGTGGTGCCGGAGTCCAACAATGCAGCTATGCTGGACGAGGATACCGTGACATTTTGCGACGAGCTCTCCAACGTGATCGAGTCAAGAACAATGTCAAACCGGATGGGGTTGGTGAAGAACAGCGAGTAGATGTTGACGAGGGGCACCGTCTGCAACTGGCCGCTGTATTTGGCATGGTCAACTGCGCCAAACAACACTGAGCCCGACAGGGCATCGGCCGAATTCAAGTAGAGCGAGTACACCACCTTGTTAATGGCGCCAGTGGCCTTCAACCGAAGAGGAAAGTTCTCGTACGTGTACGGGCTGGTTGCAGTGGTGCCGGAGTATGTCGTCTCCAACTGGGCGAGGCCAATACCGAAAACACCAATGTCTGACGACGTGTCGTTCACCACGGCAAAACTACAGTCGGATACATTGGCAGACCCAAAGTCAATGTAGTCGTATCCCCAGTAGCCGGTAGCGTACGTACCGTCCGCATAGGAAATGGAGAAGTCGGGGGCAGTGGTGTTGACCTGAAACGAGCTTGAATCCGCGGTGTTGAAAGAGCCGGATGCCGTGCAAGTGTTGGTGCTGTCTGCCCTCTTGTTTTTGTCCGTGGCATCGGTCTCGGTTGAGTCTGGCATCTCAAAACTCATGAGACGGCGGTGCGAAAACCGTTCAAAGTTTTCAATGGATCTCCTGAAGGAAGTCGATGTGGACGAGCAGTCAACGTCGCTCGACATGACCCACAAATCCGATGAGCCGGTATCGACAACGACATCGTTTTCTGCGCCCTGAGACCCAACCTTGAGAGTTGACGAGTAGTACGTCTGTTCGTTTGTCAACGTAAGTTCGGCCAGGCCATCTCTCTTTATAAGGGCAGGGACGTTGCCCTTCTTTGCCGAAGATAGAGAACTGCCTCTCAAGACAGAAAAGTCCATCTTGAGGGCGCCGACTCTAGGGACCTCCGGCGTACTGGCAGCCGAGGTCACTGCTGCTAAAAGAGCAGCATACGGAAGGTACAACATTCAAAAAAAAAGTGTGCTTTTGGTCTATTGGAAGCCAAATGGGTGGTCCAATTGATTAACTGAAAATTCACTGGGGTATGCGAGAGCGTTCCGAGTGCGGCGAAAAGTGGCCAATGGAAGGACGATGTTTGAAAAAAATCAGGTTGCTTATTACGGAAAGCGTGAAGTCTAAGTTAAAGATTCACACGGCCCAATGCAAGCGAAAATAAAGGGCTGATTCGCTGCGCTTGCTGGGGGATTCAGTCACTAAATATACCAGTGTCCCGGATCAGATATTGGTGGCGAAGGTGTGGATTGTATGGCAGAGGAAGTCGCTATGATGCGCATGTACTGCACATGTAATACACTGTGTGCAGGCTCGCGTGTGGCGCCTCGGCTTCTGGGTGGGAATCCCTGCTACGGTTTATCACCAAGGTGGCCACACGTGATGGTGGGGTCATGCGCACACGCAGTACTCAAGAGACTTTCGAGGCACGTGTGCTGACCTGAGACTCGCCTGCGAAAAGAGACGTTTCGGGTCTCGGGGCCTCTGGATACATGAAACAGAATCCAAACGACCGTAAACGATTTTCCGGACAGCGACGGGATTGCGAAACCCCACAAAGCTCTCTGATTTGCAAGCAGACAGCAAGGAAGTGCACTAAACAATATCGCACGTTTCAGGGAGCGCAAGCCGCTGCGCCTGTTTTTTTGGTCCGAACCTTTATCTTAAGCCTGCATCCGCAAAGCCCCATGGAGGCAATCAGAGTGAATGGCATGCATCGTATATCCCCGGCTATCGTGTTCATTGATGAGGCTGGCTGGAGAAGTCAGCTCAGTCTTCTTCCAATAAGTCGTATTTTGTTTTCAATTGTGGCATAAAATACGCGCTTACGATCAGTTTTTTTTTTTTTGCTTGGGACTTCAGCTCGGCTCAGCCTTGTTAATATGCGGGGGTGTATCCGACATCGGTGCAAGGAAAAGGCCAGACGAGCAATCCTAGCAATATCCGTAGAAGTGAAAACACGAAATCCCTAAGAAGCAAAAACGCAATTATGTTCTCTCGCCCTGCAGAGAACTTTGTATTCCTTGCGCAAGCTCGTGTATGTGGGCCGGAATATGGGGCAGAAGCCAGTCTTCTATAACCCAGGACGTGACGGATATGGCATCTAGATTCACCCTCACCTATTATACTTTCCGAATAATTCTCGACTTTTCATTTGTTCTACGAATCAAGTAGCCTGAAGCAATATGTCTTGTCAAGCAAATCATGTAATGTCGGGAAGTCGTCAATTTCTCAGTTTTCCAGAAATAATTGAAGGCCCCTGACCAATGGCTTATCCTGTTTGAGAATTTTACAGAATAAAGTGTTAAATGGTTGTAGAAGTGTTTTGAAGGCCAAGTGAATTTCTGTGTGAAGCTAGCAATCAGTTCTGATGGGTTAGTATTAAGTCGCCCTTGGGCCACAACCCTGGACCTTGTATGGTAGTTTTGAGCCCACACCCATCACCTAGGTTTGCAAGTAGCTTGTAATCGGGAGAGCCTCAGAATCAGAGCTCCCCAAAAGCAAAGCCAAAGAATTTCATCTATGTTAAAAAGCTACATAACCTTTTTGTCATTAGAACATACTGCCAGACAATGCCAGAATTGCGATAGATCCCCGCGTCATTGACCAGTGGCACGGCCGCTGATAAAGAATGTGAGCCACTCTAAATATCGGTCCACCTGAGAAGCATACATCACCAAGGCGGTCTTCTGTTGTGAGCTTCAAAAAAGCAGCTTCACTAGCTTCACTCGATAATGGGTATTGCTATGGTAATTCGCCATGTGAATTTTCAAGCAGCTGGATATCAGCACATGCAATAAAATCACTGAGCTAGTGTGATATTCTCGTAAACACAGCAAGTAATGCAAAAAAAGCTCACTAAATTCCAAGACATTGTGTAAATACGGAAGAGAGCGTGGTTAGGTGACTCAAAGCGAAACCAGCCAATATACGGACCAGTAGATGTGAAGCACCAGATCCAGATCCAGACTACCCATCCATGGTTTGGAACTGCCATTCTGGAACGTCGTACATGGAAACATCCGAAAATTGAAAAAGAATAAGAAAAATCGTCCTGGTGGAAACAACGGGAGAAATGTCAATAGATTGTTCGATACCCCAACTCGCATGGCATGCTCTGATTAGACCCTCGTGCAACAGCACATTCGGAAACAGATGCAACTAGACGAGAAGACAATTTATCCCTCTCTCTATTAAACAAATCAACGAAAAAAAAAAAAAAACAAGTTTGCCCTGTTGCCTTCGACATTAGGCACGTGGCCTGAGGTTAGGGAACCAAGTCCTCTGGGACGATGCGGCGAAAATCACCCAATAAGCACACGTGGACTTATTCAGAACTCGTTCCCAATGAAACGCAACACTCAGAAATAAAGACAGTCAAAAACTGGAACATAGAATCCGCCAGAACCTCTGGGAAGCTGGGGCCTGCTGCCTGCATGGCACCGCGCAAAAAGTGCCAACAGTCCGCCGCAGTGATTAGACCTTCTCTGGAGAATCGACACGGCAATCTCCCAGGTACTTTGCTTCACCCCACCAACACCACAGCACATCCTCGTAATACAACTCAAGGCTAGAGATATCTGCAGCCATGTCGTCACATTCTGCCGAGCAGGAAAAAGTGGTGCTCAGGGTCTTGTCATGCAAGCCTCACCAGTACTACGAAATCCTAGAGTGCGAGAAGTCCGCCTCCGACTCCACGATCAAGAAATCGTACAGAAAGTTGGCCATCAAACTCCATCCGGACAAAAACTCGCATCCGAGGGCAAGCGAGGCATTCAAGTATTTGAACAAGGCCTGGGGCGTGCTCAGTGATCCGAGCAAAAAGCGCATTTTCGACCAGACGGGCTCAGACCCCGACTCTCGATTTGCGGGCTCCAGCTCTCCTGGCGCCGGAGCCACCAGCGGGTTTTCGCGTGGCTTTGGTAATGCTGGTGGCGCTGGGGCGCAGGGTTTTGAGGATGACATCTTCAACATGTTTTTCGGAGGCGGCGCAGCTCCAGGCCACACGACATTCACTTTCGGCGGCAACAATGGATTCACTTTCCAGAGCTTCGGCAACGGGTTCGATCCGTTTGCGGGCAATTTTGCCCAGCAGCAAAGACAGAGACAGAGCCAGAGACAGAGCCAGCAGAACCGCGCAGAACCCACGTCCTGGGAAACGCTAAGGCAGTTGGCACCGGTGCTTCTTGTTTTGTTGGCGACGCTATTGTCGTCTCTTTTCTCGGGCGACAGCGCCCCCGAATACTCATTCACCAAAAGCTCCAAGTTCCCAGTCCGCAGAAACACGCCGACGTTCGAGATTCCTTACTTCGTGAGTGAAAGCTTCGTCAAAGACAAGAACGGAAGGGCCCTCCACAACTTCGACACCAAGGTCGAAAACACATATATCCTGGATAAACGAGCCCGGTGCCGCCGCGAGCAGACGCGTAGACGCGAGATGATCCAGGATGCACAAGGGTGGTTTTTCACGGACGAGAAGCGCATGAACCAAGCGCGAAACATGCCCATGCCTGCGTGTTCGGAGCTCAAAGGAATGGGGATCATATAGAATGTTTATTGTCGGGGCTGGCTCAATCGAAAGCTGCGCGTGGCTGCATGTTCTTTTCCATTGCCTGTTTCTCGGTGCTTGGAGGTGACATAGTAATCTCGTGGATAAGGAGTAACTCTGTCGCACTTCGTGCAATAGAACCACAAGGTGTTCGTGGAAATAGAAAGGCTGGCTGCCGTGCGATTCTCGTCGACGACTTGTGGAATATACGGGCTTGTGGAGAGCGGGTAAAATACACATGTTTTGGAGAGCGGGCAGAATACACGGGGTTTTGAATCATGAATGGCACATACAGGCTTGTGGGGGCTCAAGGCGCCTCCCAGGTATACCCATGTATTGTGTGTACTTCCAGTGGTATGCTCTATGAATGTACAACTGTGAGAAAGATACATCCCATAAAGGAAAATACAGTAGGGGATATTGCCAGGAGTCGGAATGTAAGATGCATGTGCAGACTCTCTGGGACGTTTCCAACCAGAGAATACTAGATGGGTGGGCCAGTCTTGGCGGGAATCGCAGGATTCGGTTTTGTCTAGCACAATCAAATCAGCGGTGCAAGAGATCATGGGACTATGGTTCATCGGTTCAACTCAAGACAAAGGCTTATTTTCGAAAACTACATTTTTCCTAAAAAGTGCCCACAAGCTGCTCACTTGGCGCCCTTCGAGATCAATTTCAAGTCAAATGTCAGTTTCAAAGCCCCGAGTCACTGTACATCAAGAAAGCTTGTGAAACGTGAGCCGACTCCGCCCACCACGGGAATCTGCCAGAACCGAGAATCTGCCAAAACCGAGAATCTGCCAAAACCGAGAAGCTCAAAACAGCTTCAGGCGAACTGGACTACGTAGCTCTACAAGTATGCCTCCAATTATATCGCAGTACTCAACCCGTTTCTCTTCGGTATATCCATTTGCTTTCAAATCACTCCCGGGCCCAGCCTACGCTTACTTAATCAGGACACGCAATCAGCAACACCCTATGCTGAACCAAATAAATGAGAACGTGCCCACAGGCAATTTCGGTCAGGTATTTTGGTGTCAATTCATGGAAGCTTATTCGGGAGACGATTTGGATCGGTCGGTATTTATCCCGTGGTATCCGCCATGTAGTCATCCCTCACGTGGCAAGGGAAAAAACTCCCGTACAGGGAGAGTTTTTTCCCTCTCTTTTTTTCCTTAAGGGTTTTTAGAGAATAGTAATATTCTAAGGATCCGAAGTACCGTACATACTTGAATTGAAAAATCTGATACTGAAAGTATTCGCGGCCCGCCGCACACTATATGTCGGTCCTTCCCCGCAAAACAATCGACCCGACTGCCGGAACTAACAAGCAGACACTTCCCTCCCAGCGGTTCCTTCATCTTTAAACCACAACTCTTTTTGCAAGGGGCGCTCATAAACATTCTGCACCAGACAAAAATTCGAGCAACGCGAAGCAAGCCGAATCAAACACACAAAGAAGAAAAGACGGAATCAAGTAAAAAAGAATAAAACGTCCTGTTCAGATTCAGAACAGTGGTCGCTTTGAAGAACACAAGACTACCGTCGAACTGAAAAGAAAAAAAAAAATACAAAAACTTAGAGAATCAGAGGGAACCCCGTAATGGCTAGTTTGGACAGGTCGTTTCTCGACACGTGCCCCTGGAAACCAGGCATTTTTAAAGGCAAGGTTGCATTTGTGACTGGCGGTGCGGGAACCATTTGCAGGGTGCAAACAGAGGCACTCGTGCTTCTTGGCGCCGACGCAGTGATTGTGGGCAGAAACACGGAAAAAACCGAGCGCGCCGCCCGCGACATCCAGCGGTTGCGACAAGGTGCCACTGTCTTGGGAATCGGCAGCACGGATGTGCGCGACGTCCACTCGGTGGCAGCCGCGGTCGAGACCGCCGTTCGCCGGTTGGGCCGCATCGACTTTGTTATTGCGGGCGCGGCGGGCAACTTCTTGGCCGACTTCAACCACTTGTCGGCCAACGCGTTCAAGTCCGTGGTGTCCATCGACTTGCTCGGCTCGTTCAACACGGTCAAGGCGTGTTTTGTGGAGCTCCGCAAGAGCCGGGGCGCGGTGCTCTTTGTGTCTGCCACGTTGCACTACTACGGCGTGCCGTTCCAGGCGCACGTGGGCGCGGCCAAGGCGGGCGTGGATGCCCTTTCCAATGCGCTTGCGGTAGAGTTGGGGCCTTTGGGGATCCGGTGCAACTGCATTGCGCCGGGCGGAATCGAGGGCACCGAGGGTATGTCCCGCTTGATGACTGCGGACACGGACGTGGGGCGGAAGGTGCCGCTCGCGCGGTGGGGGGCTGCCCGCGACATTGCCGAGGCCACGGTGTATGTGTTTTCGCCCGCCGCGTCGTATGTCACGGGCACGGTGCAGGTGGTGGACGGGGGGTTCTGGCACATGGGCAACCCGGCGGCGGACGTCTACCCGGGAGTGGTGGCTGCCCAGAATTCGCTCGAGAACCCGAAGTTATGAGCCTGCGAAAGCCGGCGCTGTTTGCAGCCAGCGGTGTTTGCAGCCGGTGGTGCTGGGAGGTTATCGGCTGGAATCTGCCGGTGTGATCTGAAGCCGTGTCTTGCCCCGGGGCCCAAGTGTGGTATTTCCAGTAAAGTCTAAACGGTCAGGCAGTAAAGCACGTATGGCCTGGCTAGACACTTCCAAATCTCCGGCTGCAAAAGCGAGATGGCATCTGAAAATCACGACGATATACGTTCCGGAGCCAATGCATTATACGTTGCGGTATACGTCCATGGAGTCAATTCGATGTACGTTTCGGGAGCCAATGCGATTACGTTCTGAACGCACCGCCGCTGATTCAGCGCCTGGGCTCCCAATGCCTGTCTTGTGTCAATGTATCGTGGCTCTGACCGAGCTGCTGATACAATTACGAATCAGCCGAACATCCTGGCATGTGATGTATTTAGCACCTCACTAATCTCGACTCTACCGAGATTGGGACCTGGAAGATGCTGCGAGACTGCACCTCGGCCACATCTGCCAGGCCCATGACATCATAGCAGCACAACCTTGCAACTTGGGTGCAATGCTCCAGGGTCTTTCGGGAAACGCAGTTGGTGATAATCAGGGGGCTGCGAGAGCTGTAGAGTCCAAGAAAAATCACTCCACGGCCCGCTGGGTGGGGAATGCCTCGACTTCGGCCCAGCGCCTCCTGCCTCTGTTCCTTCTGGAATCCCTTCCGAATCAGGGGAGCTGCAGTGCAGTGCTTGTATACAGTACACCCGTGCATCTGAGAGGCATGGGTCCGGCTCGCTTCAGCACCGCCTGCTTATGTTCTCGGGTCGCCTCCCTGTACTCCAGCATGTTTCCAGGCAGTGGCGGTCATTCGTACAACAACAGTCAAGGCCATTACCAAGGCGGCTACCCCAACCAGCAGTCCAATTATGGCTATCAAGGCCCCCCACCCAGCAACCCCAACGGGCCCCCGCCTGGTAACTACTATGGGGGCCCTCCGGGCCCTCCGCAAAACGGCTATTATGGTAGACCCCCACCTGGTCCCCCACACGGACCCCCGCCACACTCCCAATGGATTCCGCAAGGCGGGAACTTGAACTCGTCGCTGTTCCAGCAGCAGCAACAGCAGTACCAGCAGCAGCAAAACTACAACCAGCAGCAGCACCAGCTGACCGGACACCAGAGTGCGCCCAATGCGTCATACGACTCCCTGGGGCGCTACAGAAACAACTCAAGTCACGCTCCCACGAGTGCGCCGCCCTCGGCTCCGCAGAGCTTTGGGCAGAGCAGCAACATGACTTTCCAGTACTCCAACTGTACCGGGAAAAAGAAGGCGTTGTTGATCGGCATCAACTACTACGGCTCGAAGAACGAGTTGCGCGGCTGTGTCAATGATGTGAAGAACATGAGCAAGTTCTTGAACCAATACTACGGGTACTCGTACGACGACATGGTGATTTTGACCGACGACCAGCGTGAGATCGCGCGACTTCCCACGAGGGACAACATCATACGAGCTATGCAGTGGCTCACAAAGAATGCGGCCCCAAACGACAGTTACTTTTTCCACATATCCAGTCATGGTGGCCTTGTGCCCGACCAGAATGGTGACGAGGAAAGTGGCTTCGACTCGTGCGTCTACCCGTTGGACTTCGAGACTGCGGGCCCCATCATCGATGACGAAATGCATGACCTCATGGTCAAGCCTTTGCCCCCGGGCTGCAGGTTGGTGGCTTTGTATGATGCCTGTCACTCGGGCACGGCCTTGGACTTGCCCTTTGTGTACTCGACCAAAGGCGTGGTGAAGGAGCCCAATTTGTGGAAGGATGCCGGTTCGGGTGCTTTGAAGGCGTTCATGAACTATGAGGCGGGCAATATCAGCGGCGCCATGTCCGCGGTATCCGGAATCTTCAAGAAAGTGACGAATTACCAGAGCACGGACCGGGACAAGATTGTCCAGTCGAAAATGTCCTCTGCAGACGTGATTTCCTTGTCCGGATGCAAAGATGACCAAACCTCTGCGGACGCGGTGGAGGCAGGCCAAAGCACCGGTGCCATGAGCTGGGCGTTCATCAGCGTGTTGACACAAAGCAGGAACCAGTCCTACTTGTCGCTTTTGAACAACATGAGAAGCATTCTTTCCGCGAAATACTCCCAAAAGCCGCAATTGAGTGCCTCGCACCCTCAAGACATGAACTTGGCTTTCATCATGTAAGTATCCTACAGCCAGGGCCTTGGTTGTGAAGAGCAGCTTTTGTGAGAATTCTGTGTCCAATGCCTTTTCATAAAGCCAACTACAGCAGTTTTTATCTACGCTTCCTCTCGATGGCTGTGCTTTGACTATGTCGACATGTTCAAAAATATGACTGGAGGCAGCGGTGCATGAATTGCACACATTCGCGTTTCTAGCCATGAGTAGCCACTGGCTGCGTTATCAAGACAGCAAAAAACACACCCTGTCTGTGCAATCTTTGGTTTGAGATTCACGCATATCCTCGGCTCCTGATTTCCTCTGCGGTTCTTTAAGAGCTGGGAGGGAAGATGCGCGTAGGCGCAGCGCATCGTTCGTAAGTAGATAAAATGACAGACATACAAGTAGTCTCCATAGGACATTATTTACAGCAAAGCTGCCCGCCACGGCCAGTTGGTGAGAACGCCTTTGAAGACTCCTCATGCGACCATTTCCAAACTTGTGTGCTAAGGAGAAACTCACGAACCACTCTTTCTTGTCACGTGACCACTTACACTCCGGGGCCTAACACTGAGGAGCCTCAAGTTTTGTGTTGGAATTTGCCTCACCAAAAGCGGTGTATCAGTACCGCAAATAATCTATCAAGATCCAGATCTTTTCCTCAGTCACAAAATCAAAAGACTTATCCGTAAATGTCTGATAATTTTGAAAGACATCGGCTGACTCGCTGGGTGAAGGCAGACGTGCCCACCTATGGAGACGAGTGGGGGAGCGAATACGACGAGTACGAAAATGAACAAGAGAATTTCGAGCAGCATGCCAAAGCAGGAAATATGAAGGACGACCTCAGATCCGCATCCTCTTCCTCGCAAATCACACCGGCTATTGATGGGCCAAGGATTTCTGCTAGTGAAGCGGAGCATCTCGTGAGCAACTCGACACTCGTTCTTTCGATCGATAAGTCCGATTTTGCCGCCAGAAAAGCAGACCAAGACAGCTCCGAGGAAGACGAATCGTCAGGAAACGAGGCCGAGGGCCCAAAAAACTCCGGGAAGCTGGGGTTTTCCGGGATGTCCGAGCCAAGCTTTAGGCTCCTGCTTTCCCAAGGCTCAAAATCAAGCAGAGTAGGCAGGAGACAGCCTTTGGAAGAAACTGACACCTCCAGCATGGTCTCGAAGGCTGTTCACGAGGCCTCTGATTTCATGCCCCCTACGCCCACCTACCAAACGCGTCACTATTTCTCCCCCGGAAGCCCTGAAACAGAAGCCTCAGATCGCAGCTTGGTGTCAGATACAGATTCCATCCAGCGAGAGCCGGATCATTTGAATATCCGCTCTCCTCAGGGAACTATGGCCGAGGATTCTTCTTTCACCTCGCATGTCACCAGTGCTTCTTCGGATGTAAACACCAGTGAGCCCGTTTTGGGCAGGGTTTCTGAGGACTTATCGTCTGCGAGCATGAGCACGGGTGAGAGGTCATTTGTAGAGCCGCAGATGCCGCATCTGAACCAAGGCGCACCTGAAGCATTGGTCCTCTCGATCGACAGGTTGGACCTTGGCGCCAGCGATGATGACTCGAGTTTTGATGACTATAATCTGGAAACAGAACATAATTTGGATTTAACGGTTCATGACGTCGAATCTCAAAGCTCCAAGAAAGCGCGTGCCATGGGGGTGGACTATGATGAGGATGACTGGGGATATAACAGTGAGCACAGTAGCAATTTTGATGAGCACAATGAAACTACCGACTTGCCTGATTTGCAGTTGAAAAAAACCATGAGCAACAAAACCCATCGAACCCGGATCAAAACGGATGCTTTAGACTCCCTCATCGATGACTTATCAAAAATGGAAGGAGACCCGACGCTTTTCAGGGGAAACAGTTCGCGTGCATTACACGCCAATCAACCAGATGGCCCTTTTACTGGTCTGCAAGAGGAAATCACAGAAGGACACAAATCGCTTTTGCCCACTTTAGACTCTATCCATGATATGAAACTACCCGACTTTGAGAACCACCGCTTTGATGACACTGGGGATGTCAGCACAGAGGATCAAGCCCTGTGTTCTGAAGCTAGAGAGGCTCTTGGTCAAGACCTACAAACGGAAGCCGCAAATACTCGCAAAACTTCCATAAGGAAGCCACCTTCAACGCTTTCAATACAAAGTGAAAATTTACCCCCACTTGTCCCACGAGATTCAAAGACGCGACTTGATGATGTCTCTAATGCCATCTCTGAGGACCCTACGAATAAATCTGTTGAAGAAATGAAGATGCCTCAACCCAGAGATTTTTCTGACAGAAACGCTGATATTAAAGATCCCAAAGCTCTAGACCTCGTGCCGCCTCCAATTAGCAAGGACTCTGCTGCGGTCAACAGAAGAGATTCAACGATGTCAACAGCAACTTTCAATTTAGGTGCTTGGAAACCAAACACTAGCATATACCGGGATCAATTTGTTGGTGACAATGACAATGAGTCGCAAATGAACGTCAATATATTCAATAAGGATGACCTGGCCTACAAAAAGTTCACTCGCTTAGGTCCCGTCTCGTCTTACGCTCCCTCTATCTCTAACTCAAGCTGTGTGTCCGTTCCTGACACGGTTGATACAAGTCTACAGCGTATCAATGAAGACCACCTGGACGAAGACTTTTCGGATGCGATATCAGTGGCTAAGTCATATCAGCCAGTCACTCCCTATGAATCGCCTGATCACAGTCTCGAGTCCTCTGTCTTGTACGATCACAACTACGAGAAGCCTAAATTTCACGAGGAGACCCATACTCCGGTAGATTCCGTCGATGAGCTCAGCCCAATTCGTGAAGAAGGGGAGTGTCAAGCTGTTAGTACTGGAACTTCTGGAACTAAAATTATTGAACAGGCAGAGTCGAATACCAAAGTCAGTCACCCACTGCAAGTCAAATACCCCGTTTCAAACTGGAAGAAGATAATGGCTATTTCGCAGCCCATTGATAGAATCGAGCTCCTTAAAAAAGCTAGAATTGATGAAATGAACTATGAAACCGGTTTGTCGCAATGGCTCCGTGAGTCACTCAAGTCCACTGAGTCCCCTCATATTCAAATTGGAAAATTGGCTACTCAGGCCTACAAAAATGCTCAGCATAGCGACATAAGAAGACACACGTCTATCAGGAGCAAAGTCAATTTAGTGAGGGACAAGATTGAGCCGGGTCATCTTGGCATGCACGCATCTAGTTTGGGCAGGAAATTCTTGAGTCGAGGAAAAAAACTTATGAAGCAGAGCTCAGATTGACATGACCGCCAATGATAGGCTCAAATAGTAAGAGTTATTTCATTTTTTATTCTTATTCAGTGATTCTGACGACTTATCAGAGCTCGAAAAATCTCCTGCAAATCACATTCGTAAGACGATATACAACTGCCCTCAAGATGAAGATGATTTATCTTTCTTTGGAATCACGCCTTTGGCATGTCTTTTATTGATTTAAAACGGTAAGCCCTGTTTTAGTCCAAAAGATCAGAGAGCCCGAAAGGTCAGACAGCCATTGATAGATAAAGTATGTGTTTGAAAAAACATTCTCCGCGACGGGGAATTGAACCCCGGTCTACCGCGCGACAAGCGGTAATTCTAGCCACTAAACTATCACGGATATGATGTTGAAAAGTGTTATGATACGACATGAGCAAGATTATAGATTCTTGGCATCCTGTATAATACGAAGGACGAAGAGTCTAAACATTCCTGATCGGGGTTACCCCTCACCTACTGTATAGAAGGGTTCCGAACTATAAAGGAGCGTGAGGCTGAGACATCCCTGAAGAAGGATAACACTTTTTAGACATCGAGAATACGACAGATAGACTAGGCCTATCCACTAAGGCTGAACTATCTATAAACCGATCTACTCGTAGTTTAAGAGACAGCTCCAGGCTGTTTCATAATAAAAAGTTTGCATATGTAATATTCAACAAATGCCTTTTAGGGTTTTTAACTCTTACCATAAAGCAACATGGCTGTCTATTCCTATTAAGTCGTAGAAACAGGATATAGTTAGCTACTTGCGGCTGGGATACGGCCTAAAAAAAATGAGGACTGGCCAGGCCGTGACTACCGGAAGGGGACGGGCCGAGCTAAGACACTTGGTACGTAGTTAGGAGCTGTTTAGAGGTTTTATATATTATTAAGTATAGTTTTGATCAGACAAATTTTCTAAAAAAAATCAAAGACCCCAAAGCTAGAGTTAGCAGAAGAGAAATGCATTAACAATGAGACATTCAAGTACTTAAGCCACAAGAAGAAAGAAAAACAAAGCCCCATGGGGCCACCGCGCTTCGTTCGATTATGTCCCACGGCTCATCATAACAAACGGTGGAAACACTTTGGGATAGGATCATAAAAAGCAGAATGGCTGCAGCGATATGATTTATTGTCCCCTCATCACTTCAATTTCGGATCAAGAGTCCTCCGTCAAACTTTACCACGAAAGACATCGACTTTTCAAAGCCATCTTTGCACATCCGAAGTCTATGACAACGGAGACATCACAACAACTTTCCTTATCCATCTCTACAGCAAATGTGAAACATCTAAATACTGGTATCAAGAGCATTGAGTTTGGATGAGATGTTGACTTCAGTCCACCCCATTGATAATTCTTGAATTAAAATTGGTTTGTCACCACGATCTTCACGGTAAACACTTGAAGATACCACTAGTAACGGGAAATACGCTCTCGTGGTCCTTTTCAACATTCTTGGTAGAAGCAACTACCACAGGAGACTCATTCTAGAAATTGTTGACATAGTAATCAATATTGAACTTGAGGTGTTCTAAGAGTGACTGCTCAGGCTAGAATAGTGGAATAAAACGGGTCGAGGAACGTATCTGACAGCTGGCTGTTTGATTTTTAATATTATTTCAAAGTGTTGGTCCTACAGAAGTATTGATTCAACAAAAACCCTAAATCAAAGAAATTTGTTTTAAGGCTGTTGAATGCTCTCTGAATAGCTTTCCAGGCTACCTACCATGCGAGGAAAATTTCAAGGACGAATGAGTGGATCTGAGAAAAAAATGATCCCACTTTCATAGGCAGTCTCACTAATTTTTTCCGTCCGCTTTCATAAAAATAAGATCTTGAGCAAGAGAGAGATAACTTCAAAATGATTTGCAAAGAGGGCAGATGGTTTTTTTTTTGTCAATTTTTCGTTTTTTAATAAAAAATTCCAAGCTTTGGCTGGAACTCTTCCTTCAGTTGTTGGCCAAGAAATGTAAAGAGCATTGTCCGAACTTAACTTCCACGTATGCATATAAATAAAGCCAAGAATAGGTATGTGCATATTTCCCCCCATGATCTTTTATTGCAGCTGTTGTTAAAAAAACACTCTGTTTCATGCAAATGGTGACGAGCCACTGCTCAAGCCACACATCTGATTAACAGCTTAATTGGCATGCTCAAAGCTTAAGAAATTACTGAGTACAGTATACATGGTGTTTATGTAGGATTCACTGATGAACTTTCTCTGAACTTGAGAATGCCGCCTTACTTGATGCAAAGGGCTGGACTTGCGACTCGTGCATTTGAGTTTGTTCGAATAATTGTATTTGTTTTGTAAAAAGTACAATTAGGAATCGACTATAGAATCCAAACATCGTAAAAAAAATCCCCTTCACAAAAAAAAGAATTACTTTGTACAGATACTAGATGAAGAAAGACCCCGTGGACTGATTCTCTTTCTCAAAAAAATTGGACTTCAGCTGTGCAAGATCTCAGAACTGCTCTCCTGTATTCCTGTTTGGGACTTCACGGGACATAGGGGTTATGTATTACTATTTGATCACTGGTTTCTCTAGAACTCTACAGGATTTCTATTCCACCTTTATATATTTTAATCAGAGGTCACGTGAATGGAACCTTTAGAACTCGAGAGAATATTCTATGAGTTGTCAAGAATGATATCTGACGGAACTCACAGTAATGGGGCATATATATGCGCTTACAAGGACCATCAGTGTCAAGCTGATACCAGGGACCTTACAATTCCACCTTATATTGTCTCTTTTTGTTTTTCCCTCATATTGAAAGCCAATTTAGTGACAGGCGCTTTCTCAAGTATCTTCAGGTATCTTTACTACAAAATACAGACGATTCAATTCAATTTCTGCAACCCATATCAGACAAATGAGATTACGCTCCCGGAGGCCATAGCTTATCTCAGTTGAACAATAGGGTTTTATATTTTCTTTTCGTCCTGAAGTTGCTTGTTTATTTGTACAGTCTGAAACAGACTATCCTTTTAAAAAGCATGATCCAAAATCTGAGAACAAGAGACAAAAAAGAACTTCATGTGTATAGCCTGCACACCGGTTTTCTTCATAATTTTGTACGACTTTCAAAAATGAGCCCGTGCAAAACGAAAGACATTCATGTAAGTGCAGAAGTAAATTCAGATTTAAAAGTGCAATAAAATAGTTATACATGACATAAATTAAACGATGTATTTATCTGGCTCACTGATTAATCGAAATATAGACTTTTTTCATGGTCTCGTAGAATCTTGAAAGAGCCGTATTTTGATAGTGCGCGCATATTGTTTGTTACCAGTTCAGTCTGCACATTGAGAAATAGAGAACGACTTCCCACAACTACACCCCAAAGCGCTAAAGTCTTTCATGGTCCAATTTAGGAAAACCGCCAGGCTTTCATAAGCAACAAGTCAATACTATGTGGGATAAAAGGCGTAGATTCTAGTCTGTGGAGCAAAATGCTCGTTTTTACTTTCACACTTTTCCGCTATGAAACCAAAAATTCGCGCGGTGGCCGTTGCCATCTTATATTTTCTCGCCCAAGTATTCGCGGTGATCGTCACCGAGAATACCGTTCAGATAACCACCGTAGACATAACTTTGGGAGATCTCGTTGTGAATGCGGGAGTATATTACTCAATAGTTGATAGTGCCCTCGTGACCTTAGTGGGCACTGTGAATGTCAGGGGAGGGTTCTATGTCACGAGCGCCAAAGACTTGACATCTTCAGTTGTGATGACCGGCGGGATATTTGTGAACTCCGGAACAGTCTCCTTCAATTCCTTGTCGTCTAAACTTCTTTCCACTTATGGGATTACAACCGTTGGGTCTTTCGAAAACACCGGAGATATGTATTTTGGTATTTCCAGGGCACCTATTGTAGGAACTCCATTTATAGTCACCTCCGTAAGTTCGTGGACAAACACTGGTATGATGGTGTTCCGCAGTCGCTTTAGAGACACGGTCATCAAGAGAAATGTTCGAAGAGCTACTGGCACAATTGGAGGAAGTGTTTCAGGAGGAAGTGCCCCATTGGTAATCGAACAGATTGTTGGATCAAGTGGCTTGTCCACCATAAAGAACGACGGCTCAATTTGCTTATACAATACTTTCTGGGCTCAAACCCTGAATATCGACGGCACAGGCTGTATAACTGTGGCCAAGAACTCCGAAATGCAATTGCAATTGTCAGTGGGATCGCTTGTGTTTTCCGTTGCAGAAACTCAGACAATTTACTTGAAGTCAAGCATATCAATTTTGAGTATTATTGGATTGAGTGCATCTTTAGCTCCAGGCACCATCATCAAAGTTGCGGGTTTTGGTGACGGGAATGTCATTGCTGTCAATTTACTTTTCCTTTCGCACTCTTATTCCCCGACAACAGGTTTATTGACGCTTTCATTGACACCATTGCTCAAAATAGTATTTGACATAGGTACCGGCTACGATTCAGCTTTGTTTATTACTGCTGCAGTGCTCATTGGAAAAGGAATTTCTTACAGCGGCCGTCCACCCAATAATCCACCATCCACATGTTCATGCACCCCTCAGTTTCCAGATGTCACAACCACAGCTCTTTCCACATTTATGTCTTCCAGATTTTCCAGTTCTTTGTCGCAACTCTCAAGCACGTTAAAAGCTTCATCGAAGCTATCATCCTCTGCTGTGCCACTGTCATCTGATAAGCCTCTGTCATCTGATGTGATAACCG